GAAACCGTTTGATTTTATGCAGATTAACCACAGAGTATTTTCTGAAGAGATTACACATTTTTTTCTCCAAATTCAGTGTCTAATATTAACACTTTAATATCTCTGGAACCATTTAACCGGTTCGAACATGTTTTAGCTGGTTCAATAGGATCATTTAGTGTGTTAAGATCAAAAATTGTGATGTGTCAAAAGATTTATAGATTAGAGATCATTCTTACCATCTTTCTGCAAGCTGGCGCCCCACCCTCCATTCTTCTACCCATAAATCCTCAAAAACACCTCTACAGTTTCACAAACTCCTGCATTTGCCATAAAGGCCTCAATAATTATATATTCTCCATCTAAGAACGCGATTCACACGACGCTCTCGGTCGCAAACTGAATATTCATACACCTTTTCGAAAAAACTACAGAATAAAGATGATTATATGATCATTTGATTGTTCGTTCTTTCGATTTCCGTTTCTTCATTGTTGACATTTTTGTAGAAAGTGCATGTTCGACATTCTCTCGAAATTTCAACTAATTAAAAATGTCGCTTAAAAGTTCTAATTTCAAGAATTATTCAATATTCTAGTTGTAATCATCTAATCATCTTCTCTCTTTTGGTGTCATATTTTTTTCAGTTTCCACTGGCTTATTGCTTSCTCTGCTAGTCCCAGATCTCATGCYTTAATTTGTCAAAATGTGCCATTTAATGCTCTATCCAGTGCTCCAGTTCGATTTGATGCTGAAAAATAGGTAAAAAAGARGCAGAATGCATAACATTTTGGCCTAAYCTTGTACAACATATTCAAATTTCGCCTGTTATTTCAAGCTAGAAAATTGCTGACTGAAGAAGCTGACTGTTTGCCTGACAGAAAATACCCACTTTTCTCTATCAATGTGGCAATTTCCGCTTTTTCTTGAATATTTGATCAAAAATGGTTTTTTTTTGTTAAAGTTCCAGTCCCTGAGTTGAATGCGAAGTCAATGAGTTATGACTCCGTAGCGCACAGAGTGTCACCCATGCCTACATCCGTTCGAACATGTTTTAGCTAGATTAATAGAGCCATTTAGTGTCTTTTGAAATAGACCAGGGGCGTCGTTTTCTGTTGCCTTTTCTTGCCGCGCCGTTGCACCGCAAAACCGCATAAAATCCTCAAAAAAAATACATAATAAATGAACAAAAAGAAAAATTGACAAGGAAATGTCGGGAAAAAAATGTTTTCTGGCCTGGAGGTGGTTTAGTGGGGCGATGCGATTTAAGGGTGGCACGTATCATTACAACTCGGTCACAATTCGATGGGCAGCGTCGTGACGCTGTTGCACACGGCATCTGTCACTTCTCAGCGCCTTTTCCCCGCTGGAGTTCCTCCAGCTGGATTATGGATATAAACAAACGGTGCGCCACTGGATCGAGTGAATTTTTCGTCAAACACCTGCCCACTTTGCTAATGCAACGGTGCAAAGATTGGCGTGAGTCAGAAGAAGCGTTTTTTGAGCGTTTTGTGCTAACGAAGATTGGTGTGGGCGACGCGTGGGCCCGATCTGGCAATAACCGTGAGAAATCCTGGCAAAAGTGATTCAGATTAGTGCTGGCCAATTAATCCGGTTTAAATCGAGTGATTTATGTGGATGGCGTCGAGCGGGAGCGAGCACAAGCAGGCACATGCGAGGTCCGTTCCCTGATCATCAGGAAGGCAGCAGCAAGAGTTGGCAGGACAGGAAGTATCAATCTCAATTGAAAAAACCGCTTATAAATCACATAACACGAAGAGCAGACGCTGTGGAAATGAAAACAGAGTTGTCGTCAATTGAGGTGGCGCCCGCCTCAATTGGGCACAGGAGGTGACGCAACAGCAATTGGGCCGTTATGGCAAATCACGCTCGTCTGCACTCCTAAATGAGAACAATAAGCGAACAAAGAGATTTCCTGCAAAACAAACGGACGCCGAAAGAAAAATCGCCGCTTGTCCGAGAGTGAGCAGCCCACCTGGACCAGTTCGCATCGTTCGAGCAGCAACCTCAGCTCAGGATTTGCGCTTTTGCTCTCTGCTTTCCTTGTTTATGAACCGCACCGGATAACGGCCGTCTTAAGCAGGATTTTTCCTTTTGTTTCTCCTTCAAATGGCTCGCCGAAATCACCTTTTTGCGTTCACTAACGCCCGTTTAATGCCTAGTCTAGAAGGCCTCTAGTTGGGAAATGAACCGATTTTCATACGGTTTTCTTCGGGAGTATTTCAATACATGCAACAATCTCCCCAATTTATTGGCCGAATAAATTGGCGAACAATATCGAAGTGTAAAGTCGATGATGGATGCAAAGAAGATGACCTTCAATAATTGGCCAATAAATCGGGGATAGTGCGTAGTGTATTACCGGCTTAAGAAGCGTCGAGCTGGCATGGAAAAATCGCGTGTAGCTCGCATATTATGGATAAAAGGATGCTGTTGGACCTCATGGATCGAGTGGAGTGCTCAGAATTTCCCCAGCGTTTTCGATATTTGAGATAGTTTCCCATTTTTACGAAAATCGTATGCAGGACGTTGAGACGCTTCGTTTTCGAGAAATAAATTAAAGTATGAAAACCGACTGAATTACTAAGAATATACGCGAACTCGACTTTCAACGCGCTTCGTGTGGAAAAAAAGTGAAAATCCAGCGACAAAATCCTCAGAATATACGCAATCTTTGGGAGAAAACACATTAAACTGTCCAGTGCTCAGAATTTCCCCAGCGTTTTCGATATTTGAGATATTTTCCCATTTTTACGAAAATCGTATGCAGGACGTCTCTGGAAAAATCGCAAACTTTCATCCTATGGTAAGCCGGACATTTTGTGAAGAGCAAATTTTAAAAATCGTTCCGAAAACATGCAAAAGCAAGATGGTTTTTTCTTCCAGAAAACTGCCTCAATTTTGATGATTTTAAAGACACCATGTTTCTGAATATTTTCTTCGGAATTCGAAAGAAACTCACAAAATTGCCAGTACCTCGCTTATTATCCACTTTTGGAAAAACTGAAATACCAACTTTTTCATACAGTTTTATGCCCTCTATCGGGTGGCGTGCTCAGAATCGCTCCATCGTTTTTAGTATCAAAGATATACCGATTTTAATTTTTTGATAGCATTTTCTTAAAAACCGTTTGCCTTAAAAGTGAAAATCCAGCGACAAAATCCTAAGAATATACGCAATCTTTGGGTGAAAACACCGAAAATGTTCCATTAAAAAACTGTCCATGGACAAAGTCCATGCCAAGTGGATTTTCGGAAAAAGCTCCGTCAATGAAGCACGAGGGAGAGTAAAAACGAAGGAAATCAAGCAAAGCGATGGTTTTTCTGGTTTCAAAAAAGTTGCCTCAATTTCTTCGGAACTTCAAAGAAAATTACAAAATTGCCAGTAGCTCGCTTATTATCCACTTTTGAAAAAATTTAAATCACAACTTTTTTATACAGTTTTATGCCCTCTATCGGGTGGCGTGCTCAAAATCGCTCCATCGTTTTTAGTATCAAAGATATACCCATTTTAATTTTTTGAGAGCATTTTCTTAAAAACCGTTTGCCTTAAAAGTGAAAATCCAGCGGCAAAACCCTAAGAATATACGCAATCTTTGGGTGAAAACACCGAAAATGTTCCAATTAAAAACTGTCCATGGACAAAGTCCATGCCATGTGAATTTTTAGCAAAAACTCCGTCAATGAAGTACGAGGGAGAGGAAAAACGAAGGAAATCAAGCAAAGCGATGATTTTTTGGTTTCAAAAAAATTGCCTCAATTTCTTCGGAACTTCAAAGAAAATTACAAAATTGCCAGTAGCTCGCTTATTATCCACTTTTGGAAAAACTGAAATACCAACTTTTTTATACAGTTTTATGCCCTCTATCGAGTGGGGTGCTCAGAATCGCTCCATCGTTTCTACTATCAAAGATATACAGATTTACATTTTTTGAGAGCATTTTCTTAAAAACCGTTTGCGTTAAAAGGTTGGAAAGGTCACGCTCGGCTGTCCTCTTGACGTGGCGCACACTTCACAAAGAACAGTTTTTTCTATTGAGACGCTTTGTTTTCGAGAAATAAATTAAAGTATGAAAACCGACTGAATTCCTCAGAATATACGCGAACTCGTCTTTCAAAGCTTTCGTGTGAAAAAAAAGTGAAAATCCAGCAACAAAATCCTAAAAATATACGCAATGTTTGGGTGAAAAAATTGAAAATTTTTCATTAAAAAACTGTCCAGAGGACAGAGTCCATACCAAGTGAATTTTTGGAAAAAACCGCATCAATGAAGTACGAGGGAGAGAAAAAACGAAGGAAATCAAGCAAAGCGATGATTTTTTGGTTTCCAAAAAAACGCCTCAATTTCTTCGAAACTTCAAAGAAAATCACAAAATCGCCAGTAGCTCGCTTATTATCCACTTTTGGAAAAACTGAAATACTAAGACTGGAAAGGTCACGCTCGGCTTCCTCTTGACTTGGCGCACGCTTAAAAAACACCGTTTTTTCTATTGAGACGCTTCGTTTTCGAGAAATAAATTAAAGTATGAAAACCGACCGAATTCCTCAGAAAATACGTAAACGCGACGTTTTTATGTTGAAAAAAAAAGTGAAATTACAGCGACAAAATCCTAAGATTATATCTAGGCAATGTTCGAGTGAAAACACCGAAAATTGTCCATTAAAAAACTGTCCAGTGGCCGAAGTCCATGCCAAGTGGATTTTTGGAAAAAACTCCGTCAATGAAGTACGAGGAAGAGTAAAAACGAAGGAAAACAAGCAAAGCGATGACCTTTTGAAACAAACCCCCATCAAATCTCACCCGATGCGAACCCATCCAGATGTCCTGGATGCGCTCGACTATCCATCGCGGATCCGTACATTTAGCCACTCCAGGATTTATTGTTGCTTGTCCAGCTCAACGCTCCTTGGGGAGTTATAAATGGCTGGATGATTGATTGATCATCCAGAGCGCGTCCCGGCCCTGCTGCCGCCCTCTGGCAGCCACTAATCCAGCCAGCCTTCCCTGGAGGGTCGATGTTCCAGGCGTCGAAGTCGGGGCGCCAGATGGCGCCCTGCAGTGGCCGCACTTCCATGTGGATGGGAACGTTTTCCCGACCTGGAACGGTGCCAATTGTTTCATCCAATGCGGCAATCAAGTTTGCGTTGTTCTGGACCAGCATAACATCATGGATTGGGCAATTGGAGGCATCGACATGTCCATGGGCAAGTACGCAGGCATTGACTGCATCCAGTATGTGGACTTAACCTGGAGACGTGTGGAAACCTGCCTGATCCTGATCGCCTGCCTCTACTTGTTCCTCTGGAGCTTTCCGCAGGCAAGTTGATGCATGAGGCATGCGGTTAGTCAGGCTTTCGTTCCGCAGTGCGCTCTGCCCTCAGGGCCGCCTTCCCTCCGAGACAGAGCCGGCCGCAGATGGCTGCTGGCCCTCCTTTGCCTCTGCTGGGGCATGGAGATCGGGTTCAAGTGCGCCTCCAGAACCGGGATCTACCTCCTGAACCCCTGCCACATCACCACAGCCATCCAGATCTACCTGCTAAGCGCCCCGCCGAGCAAAACAGTCACGGCCCTCTTTCGCCTACACTTGAACTACCTGAACGGGCCTCTGCTCGCTTTGATCTTTTACGAAACGGAGACCAGAGTGGTGAGTGGATGGGCGCAGTGGGCGATGCGCCCTTTGCAGGCATGCGGTTTCAGTTGCCACTAGAGGCCGCCGTCTACTGGCTGCAGCACGGGCTGATGTTGATCGTTCCCTCCTACTTGCTAAGGCTTGGAGGCGTCTACACAGTAGAGCCTGTAAAGACAATCCAGTGGAACGTCCTGGCCTACAGCCTGCTTGTTGCTTATCACTTCACTGTCCTACAGGGCGTTTCCCTAGTGAGTCTGTCCTCTTCAGGCTGCCTTGAGCCGGTTGATGAAGGCCACGTTTTCAGCTGACCAATATCAACATGAACCATATCATGTGCCCTCTCGAGGCGGACCCTTTCAGAGGCCAACTATTTCGAACAGCCGTCTTCTTCCACCAGGGCCTGCTCTGTCCTACTGTGTGCAAGGCCTATGTGCTTTTGGCCAACTATTTCCTGATCAAGTTCAACTAAGTGGTTGGATAAGGAGGATTTGGCCCGACCAGGCCGCAGAACAACGAGCACGTAATTAAATTTATATTTCAAATTGCTAATAATAGAAATACACTTTGTACATTTTGTTCAACACGTCTACCTAAACAGACATACAACAATTAGAGAGCGAATGAACGACTAAACAGAACAAAACGAAAAAATCACAGCAAATGACTAGACGACGAAGAAGGGCAATAAATCCGAGCACCATCCAAAGAAATGGCTTTTATTCGTAATTTTCCTAGTTAATCTATTAAGGGGCGGCACTGTACAAAAATACTATTTACAAATGGACAAAGCAACCGGCTGAACCAACAATTGCCATGTGGAAGATGTGTTCGAACTAGTGCTGGAGGCGTAAAACTCAACAAAATGTGTAACAACATTCACTCCGAAAGTAAATCTGTTCAATTATGAGATCTAATATCGCTATTCTAGTGCAGTCGAAGGACGAACTCGCGGCTGTTCCTTCAAATCTACTGGGTGTTTGAAACAGTTTTTTTTTTGTTAAAGCTTCTTCAGGAGTGGGATTAATTTCCCAGTAAATTGGGGGTTTGATGGTCAATTTTGCAGAAAATATTGGAAATTCTTGGAGATAAAATTGTAAATTTTTGTTTTTACAAACTCTGTCCAAATATCCAACAAACAGTTTGTGAAAAAATGACTCCGCCTCAACGATATAGAACTTATCTACAACCTGTGAAATTCTTCACTTGGTGGTAAAACGTGAAACATTATTATTTGTATATACTTTCCTGACAGTGTTTCAAGAGACAATAAATGGCTGAAACCCAGGAATAAATTTGATTTGGAACATTATTAATGCACAGTGTTTTGTAGCATCTCGCAATTTTTTCATCAAAAAACACTTTGCTCAACGTTGCAAATGCGAGAGTTTAAAGCAAATGTTCTGCCGAACCCTTGCCCAACTTACGCACGACCCGGTAAAATATTAGTCTCCCATAATCCCCAGTTGCTCTTCTGCTTCTGAATCGAAATAGTCCATCAAACCACCCAAAAAAGCTACGATTCGGATCGTCCTCACTATAAAACCTACCAGGTGAGTTGCTAGCGCTAATGATTTAGCAATTATCCGATCCTCTCTGGCAAAAACGACTCTTTCAACTCGATCAAGTACGTGAAGTGGAAACAGCCCCTAAAACCCTTTCGTTAGTGGGCTTCCAGCCTTAAACTAGGAACATTCTAGACAGGGCTGCGGCCTCAATTCCTCCCAAATCGCACGGGGTCTTTCAAGTGGAGTGTCTCAACATTTTGGCGAATTCGCCGCCGAAACTCCACTCGGGCTCAAAGGGCGTCGTCTCAATGTCTCAATAGAAATTTTTCAGCACTATTTTTGAAGCACAAATCGGAAAACTTGCTTGGGATAAACTGTAAATAAAGTTTCACGTGTGGAAGTTCCATCGTTAGACGACGCCAATCAAGTCAAACTGTAATCAACCAAAGTGCAGAGTTGATACCAAACACTTCACGAGTAACTTGAGTGAGCGATTTGGTGCAGAGAACCGTCCTAGCGCTCAATATTTACAACCAGGACCGGTCCCAGTTGGTGTCGGAAGTTAAAAAGGACAAAACGAGATTAGAGTATATCACAATGGGCAAACCAGACCGACCTCAATCGGGCCCCATTGGGGCCAAACCATCATGTTGCAGACATAGGAATTCTCTCTCCATCTTTTGCACTGTATCAAGCTGGTCGTGTTCAGGGTTTGTTAGCCATCTAGAGGCGCCCCCAAATAGACCATCGAAACCTCGGTGTTGCCATAAACGGCCGAGACTGTTGGGTAAAGTTTTTTGTCAGGTAAACCTGCAAACGATCGGGTTTAGTTGGGCGCGAGCATTTTAAGTCGAAGACTCACCCCGAAAGGCCACCCCTAGGAACTCGTAGTTCTTCTCGAAGGAGAGCGTGTTGTCGTCGCAGTCCAGTATCACCTTGATGCGCTCCCCCACTTGGTACTTTGGAGCGTTGTTCAGCAGGGGGTAGTTGCCCTGGGCGTCCCCATTGTGCAGCAAGTGATTGTCCACCAGGTTCCAGCCCCAGCTTTGCTCGTCAGAGCCCAGCAGGGCCACATAGCCGTGACACTGTAAAGGGGCGTCCTTTGTGGCGATCCCGATGACAGCCACCGTGCCCAAGGGGCCCTCCCATATCACCTCCCAGCAGTGTCTGCCGTGTCTGAAGCCGATTTTGCCTCTGCAGGCGTCCGTGCTTTGGGCCACAGGGTTCCGATGCAACGTGAACCCATTGGGCTTGATGTAGATGTTTCGCGAACAGTCGTTGGGGTTCCAGGCGTTGTAGAAGGCCCGTAGCTTCGCCTTGTAAGTGGGAACGGACGACAGCAGGTCGGACTTCAGGGCTTCTTCGGCCAGCTTCCGGATACAATGCAGCCGCCACACATCGTTGTTTTCAAAGTTCAAAAAGTCGTACCACCGTTTGCAGACTAGGGAACAGTTCCGGAGGTCGCGCAAGCTCAAGTACGAGAAAATCTGCTCCAGACAGTTTTCTGGCAGGCGGATCACAGCACCCACTTCCATTTTCCTTGTTTATGTTTTATTTTGGAAATTTTTGACGTTCACTCACGTCAAGGCCCTTCGGCCCACAGCGTTGCCGCTTAGCGCCTCCCTTCATTCGGCGCAAAAATGCCGGTGTTCTGGCAGTCAGCTGATTCGGTTGTCTCGCTTCATTGCAAGCTCGAATACTCCAACTGGTGTGTCGGACGAGGACGCAACACCAACGAGCTAAACGGGAAAAGGCGCGAAACAGACCACCCTGCGGCCTGGCGGCTAACTAGACGAGCCGTGACCCACGTGAACGACGTCCACCAATGGGATCGTTCACTTTGTGCCCGCCGCCAACTAGAATAGAGCAAGTCGAGCACGGAAAGGCGCCTCTTTGAGCAGCCCTAAATCCGCCCCCCGCTAGTTTTCGTTCTGGGTTTTTCGCTGAAAAGCCAGCGGCATAATCGCACAACGAAACAGCGTTTTAACCGTGTGATTCACTTGAGCCGTGTAGCCGCAACGGAAGCGGGAATGTTGTCGTGTTAAAAGTCGCCATTTTGGTTTGCAGCGGAGCAGCGCGGTTTTCCGTTTCGATTTTACTCAATTTTCCGCGCGCTTTGCCCCATATTCCGGTCCAAAGCTCCCACCTGCTGTCCAGGATGACACAGCAGCCCTCCGCCGGCAACTGGATGATCCAGGGAGCCAATGGTAAGGCCCTGCATGCTTGCAGCTTTTCCTGCCAGAAAACTGTGTTTTTTTGGGGAGTTTGCTCGATTTGCCCCCCTGGCTCTGCCGGGGGGGCTTTTTTGTCAGGGGGTTGAGTTAGGAAACGCCCAGCTATAGAGACGTGTATGAAACGGCCAAAAGTTTGGGTTTTTTGAGGTTAAGTTGCCCGCAGGGGGCCCTTCCAGCAGAGCCCTGGGGCAGAAACTCATTTGTCGGCTTCAGTTGGTTATATTTGGGTCCAGTTGACGGGAAAACGGCGTCTGCATTCAAGGAGGGGCAAATTTTGGGCTTGGGGCTTTTCGAGCCCCAAGCCCGGAAATTGCTAAATAATCCCCAGACCCTGCTCCTGGTACAGGGGAGTGGATATTTCCAACAGCAATTTCCAGGTGTGTGCTGTAGCGGTTTGTCAATCTGGAACGCAGCTCTTGCCCATCTAGGCCTTTTACCAGGGTTTTATTCAAGTAGCAAGCAGAATAAATGGGGGCGTTGATAATTGTGGCCCTTTGCCTCAGTTTTCCGCACGTTTTGTGCATTTAGTCGGGATTAAAAGAAAAAAATGAGAAAAAATCCGCGACTGCCTTGCACTGAAAAGCGTTTCTTCTCGCAGGTCAGATGGTGAAACTGGTAGAATCGTCAGGGAAGGCCATAACAGGTATTATGGCCTCATCGATCAGCGGCACTCCAGTGAAAATAATCAAATCATCGACTGTGGCAGGCGAAAATTCGCGGGTAAGTTCCCGTTTGTTTCCCACGCCCGGTTGGTCGAAGCAGGCAGGGCTCCAGTGAGCTGTGAATCGAATTAAACCGATAATCAGCTGGGAAGTTAGCAGGATTAATGGAGTGAACGCAGTTGATGCGCAAAGTATGACCAACTAGGTAGTCGACTCGAGACCTTGAGGTTGCTTCCTCAGTGGACGGTTTTTATCGCCTTTTTTCCATCTAACAGGCTGTGTGTGTTTGTAGAGTTTTCGCGACCAAACCTTGCCTGAATTCGCAGTTTTTTCCAGATCTACACGGCATCGGTGCCCCAACAACAACCCCAACAAATCATTCGAGGGCTGCCGACAGGCGGCAACCTTGTAACTAGTAAGCTGGTTTCTTCGCGAACTTTCCCAGCACTTTCAACTGTTTGTTTGTTGCAGAACAAGTGCCGATCCAGATGAATCAGCTGCCGAAGGGCACCAAAACCATCCGATTGACTCCCGCTCAGATGGTACGTCCGATTATCCACTATCAGAGCCAGGGGGTGGGAAATCGAGCCGTTTGTTTCGTTGCAGCAAAACTTCAAGCTGACGCCTCACCCCCAGCAACGCTTGGTTTCCCTTCAGCAAACGCCTGCACCACCAGACATCATCCAGCATTCCACCAACCAGCACTACCAGCAACCGGCTCCAGTTAAAAACATGTCGCCGCCCATTTTATCCAGAAAACGCGCCGATTCGGGAGAGCAAGTCGAGTTTGCCACGGAAACGTGAGTTTTAGGCTTCTTTTTATATACAGGGTGCGTCATTAATAATTGGCAATCTGGAAACTGGAGATTCCACAAGTCAAATGGTGGCGCAAAGATGCCTTATCCGAAAATGGATAGTTTTTCTTTTTTGAGAATTCCCCAAACCGTAGGCTGCGTTCCGCCTGCTGCAGTACTTAGATCCATTTCACACGGGCCACTCTGTAGCGCTTCTCAGTGGCGCTGCTGATAAGCGCACGTTAACATTCTACCAGCCAATCTGCAGCGCTTCTCGGTGGCACTGCTGAGCAGCTCACGTTAGTTACGGCGGTAGTCATCCACTGAACGCCACAGATGCGCTGCTAAATCGGTGGCCTGGCCCCGTTTTCTGCTTTTCGCTTCAAAACGCGCTTCTCAGCAGCGCTGCAGAGTGGCCCGTGTGAAATGGCTCTTAAGAGACCAGTACCCAAGACTGGATTTTCAGTAACTCAATACAGCTTCCTCTTTCTGCTCAAGGGAAAAATCGTGTTTCTGCTACGCGGTTGAATACATTTCTCAACAGCTTCTGATTTGGTTGGCTTTGACTAATTTCACACGCCAAGTCTTTATTTACTTGTTGATGATCCGTGATTTGTGTCGCGTTTAATTTTAACATTTGAGTTTTTCTTATTATTTTGACTCGTAAATTACTCACCCTGTATACAGAGAGTGGCTTTGTTGGTTGGAATGTCTAGAGTCGGTTTCATTCGCGAAATTTAAAGTTCAAAGAAAAATACCTTAAATACCTACTTGAAGTGAACAGCCCCCAAAGGCACTTTATTTGGCTTCGCGTCTGAAACTAGGACATTCTAGGCAATTTTCGCCTGCTCGGGCTCCTGAGGCAGACAGTTGAGCTGTTGCAGCGCCGCTTTGGTCTTCACGGCCACGCCCTCGATGCCAAAGCGCACTTCCTGCAACGTTTCATTCACTTCCTGCAGAGTTTGAGTGAACTGTGCCATGTTGGCAAATTTGCCCTGCAAACTCGCTTCAGGCGCAGGGGGCGGGGCCTCAACGGGGATGTTTGAGCAGTTTTCACTCATTCTTGAAGCAGCACAAACCGGAATACTTCTGATGACAGTGAAAAGTGACAGCAATGTCGAGGCAACATTAGACGGTTTTTCGTTTGTTGGGGCGTGTTCATAAATAACAGCCGAATGGGCGCGAGTTGTGGTTTAAATGTTCATCAAGGAGCGACCTTAGACAAGGAAAGCCAGGCTATCTTGTGTGAGGGAAGGAGCGACTATATGGTCGCTCATAAACAATGTGAGATCGGATCGAATAAACCTGTTGCTTTTGTTTATGAACGCATTCCTGGATGATGTCAAGCAGGATAAATAACTTCCACAACTGACAGACATGCCAAAATTGAACAGCATCGAAACGGCCAGGGCTCCGCCCCCCAATTTTCTAGAAATTATTTGTATTTACTTGCCTCCCGTTGGGTTTGGAAGTTTAAAAACGTGTATCAAACTGGATAAACTTTGCACATTTGGAGGATGGTGTATTGTGGCAATGAAAAGAATCTTGCATCTTCTAACTTTGTTGCAAACATATCTTCTTGATACTGGCCGTACAGTTTTTACGTGTTTCTTGCCCCAGAAATAAGGAACAGTTCGGACGAACTGTAGTCCAAAACAAGACTGCGAGTTTTGGAAGAAAATGCTGCTCATGTCAAGAAAATTAGTGTATTCCTTGCTGTTTCACTCAGCACTAAGGGGACAAAACACACCAACTGATGAAGGGTCATATGAAGTTTTATAAGAAAAGTGCGTAAATCAGAATAGAAATTCCCCTGCATATATTTAGCATTGAAACCAGGTATTTAATGTTTATCTGCGCTTGACTGAAATAAGACTTTGCTCTGAGAAATGCGGCGGAAGCCACACCGTCTCAACATGTTAAGTCCTAAATCGCCTCGAATTGTTCCAGTAAACGGCTGCGAAAGTCCGAAAAACTGAGCCGTGGGCTGCGACACTTTTCAATGAAAGTCTGCGAAAAGGTGAAGGAAAAAGTGACGACAACTTACAACGAAGTAGCCGATGATCTGGTGCGTGAGTTCACCGCCCAGCAAAACTCGATCAACAGCCCGTTAGCTGATCAGTACGACCAGAAGAACATCCGAAGACGCGTCTACGATGCCCTGAACGTGCTGATGGCCATGAACATCATCTCCAAGGAGAAAAAGGAGATCAGATGGATCGGGTTGCCGACCAACTCATTGCAAGTGAGTGTTTCGGATAAAGCGGCGCTATTAACGTGGTATTGAACGGAACCGTTTCTGTTCTAGGAGTATCAGCAGCTGGAGAATGAGGTGCGCACCAAGTCGTTGAGCATTCGGGAGAAGGAGAAGCAGTTCTATGAGCTGATCATGAGCCAGATCGCCTTCAAGAGTCTGGCGCAGCGCAACAAGGAGGCTGAAAAGTCGCATGGGAAGCCGGGCGCCAACTCCAGTATTCAGCTGCCGTTCATCATCGTCAATACGAACAAAAAGACTGTTATTAACTGTAGCATCTCCAATGATAAGTAAGTGGTGGTGTGGGGCTGAGCAAGAGCCCGAATGACCGCTTAACATTTGCAGAATGGAATACGTGTTCCAGTTCAACGACAAATTTGAAATCAATGACGATTTGGAAATTTTGAAGCAAATCGGGATGTTGCACGGTAAGTGAGGCTGAAGGCCCTTGAAGCGATATTAATAATGCGTTGAAGGCCTGGACACCGGCAACTGTTCGCGAGAGGATCTGGACCGTATCAAGACGCTCATTCCCGAATCGTTGTGGCCCTATGTGGAAAGTAAGCCTGCATGCCGCGAGTGACTGGCAGGGATGATTAATGTGAATTTTCAGGGTTGGCCAGCGGTTCGAAAAACCCCCTAGATGACCTGCTGGGATCAGGGTGCGCCAGCACTTCGTCCATGGGACCAACGTCGGACTTTGTCGAGGCCACTCTAGACGAAGAAAATTCTCGTCAATCGACCACGAGCGGCAACGACCCGATGTCGCCCCTCGCTTTGGAATACTCGGATGAAGACGTCGATTCCGATCTGTCCAGCGAGGATCTCAACTAGAATTGGGACTCAGAAGGGCAACAGCTTGTACATATTAATGGCAATGTAAATAGACTTTCTAGACGCATCAACTGCAGCAGTTCGCTTATTTCGCAGCCTGCACATGTGGAACATGATTTTTCGTTTTCTTGCACAAACAAATATGAGTGTTTGAGCCGGTTTTCGATACTTTACGAGTAAACGGCTGCGTTTTGGCGGCACCAACTTTCTACTGGATTATTTTTGAAGTGCAATTTCGTTATACGAACGAAGTGTCCATATACATGTAATACTGACTAGGCAGAATCTAATGTACAAATATAGAGCGACCAAAGAGATTTGGAATCAATTAGGGGCGCCATTTTATTGTTAATGGTTGAACAAAAATGCACTTTCGAACTGTGATTGTGATTTAAAAGAAATAATGTTTTGGTAACATAGGAACAGACAGGATTTGCGTTAAAATACCTTACAACATAAGAGCCTTTTCGGTAATAAATTTGCAGTTAAAATGGATTTATTCACCAGTTTTCGTCCCACCAGCTAATCCAGATCATCATCGTCGAACAAATCCCCAAAATCTGTAACAAACATTAAGCTGCGTGATTTCAGGGCTGTGTTCAGTCGCCTGTAGTCTACCGTTGAAAAATTCTGCATGTACCGCCTTTTCGTTCGCTGTGAGATCAATCAACAATGAAGCAGAGCCTCCAGCCTAAAAACACCTTTGTTCAGTCGGGGGAGGGCTTAGCCTTAGGACCACCACATACCTCATCGAAATCCATGTACGGTCCAGCCCCTTCAGGAAACATTTCGTCGGCTACAAGCGCTGGTTTCATTGTGTTTTGAAGCGGGGTTTTTTTAGGTAACGTTTAAAAAGCGAGGTTGTGTTCGGTTTGTTCGTCTTCAATACGTCACGTTGGCTCTCTTTGTCTGTTACATGGAGTTGACTTGGAAGGAACTTGTGTTCTTGGGCGTGGCGCCCAGTTATTTAAAATTTTATTAACGGTAATTTTATAATAAAAAACAAGTTTTTAAAATACCAAAAAATCACAAAATTACAATTTATTTCTCTCGCCGTATGCAAGGGCAGATCCAGGGGGGGTCATGGGGGTCATGACCCCCCCCATTCAAAATAGGACACCCTGTATTGTCCAAAATGAGACACCCTGTATATTACATGAGTTTCGCCCCGAAACTGCTCAACTTCACTTCAGAACATCAGTTCATCAGGCAAGGGCGGATCCAGGGGAGGGTCATGGGGGTCAAGACCCCCCATTCAACTATTTCTCTATCCAACGATGTTAAAACGAATTCTCTGGCTCGAGTGGTTCTTGAGAAACTTCGAAAAAAGCAGCGTCATGTTCAAGTGGACTTTGCAACTCAAATAAAAATCACGCAAATCTAAAACTTCTTGAATTTGAGCATTTTAAAGAAAACTTCCAACATTTCCCCATCCACGGTTCACTTTCTGAAAGGGCCATTTATTTCT